GAAGTAATTAAGTATCATGTTTAAAAGGCCTCCTGGTGGACTGCAAAATAGATTTGAAAGAAAACAGATGGTCAGATAGTCACCAACAGATTCTCAATCTGTTTATCAGGAAGTAATGAAATATAACATTCACCACTTACAATTCACTTAAGTCAGAAAATATTCCTGTAAAAGATATATGTTCAATTGCACAGAATATAGTTTAGAAAATAATTTAAAGATTAACTGCAGAGAATTTGAACATTTGATCTGATTGTGTGTGGGGCTTCAATTTATTTTATTATCTTTTTGAAACTAACCCAGGGGAAGGACTGGCTTTAAGGTTTATTGATCAAAATACTTCCTCAATAGTATAACTAGCCTTTGAGCTAGAGATAAATGCATTTTATTCTTCTTATTCTTCTCCTCTCCTGCCAGATTATGAATCTTTTACTAAATTCTATAATGTATTCTTCCCTATAACTATTTGACTTTTAAATATATCATGTTAGGTAATATATATATATATATATATATATATATATATATATATATGTTTTTAATTGATTCTAGAAAGAGAGAAAGTAAGGAGAGACAGATAGAAACATCAATGATGAGAGAGAATGTGCTGCCTCCTACATGCCCCCTACTGGGGATGGAGACTGCAACCAGGATATGTGCCCTGACCAGGAACTGAACCAGAAACCTCTTGGTTCATGGGTTGATGCTCAACCACTGTGCAACACTGGCTGGGCTTAAGTACCTTTTTAAATACTCATGAATCATCATCATTGATAACTGTGTTTTCTAAGCTGTTTTAAGTTGAATCAAATTATTCCAAATATTCCATCACTGCTGTGAAATTTAGGAAGCCAGTCATCAAATAGAGGGCACCCAGCTGAAGGCACTGATCTTGAGTTCCTACATTTGTCATGTAAAAACTGCCCAGTTTCCACTGTTAAAGACATCCAAAATCCATGTCCAGACATTTGATGAACAGTTTCTGAATTTGCTCCTTTAAGTAGTTTACAAATAGCTTTTAAAGAGAATTCAATCAAACCTTGGAAGCTATACAAAGACCACTACATACATCAAATCAATGTTTGATTTATAAATACAGAGACAGAGAGGCAACAAAGTTGTCACCTAAGATGCAATTAATTGAGAATTATATAGATGAAGAACTGGCTTGTTGTTCTATATGCTTATTATCAGAATGAAGAAAATACTGTGGCTAGTGACTCATGCACTGGCTATCCTGAGTGTTCATTTTACTGACTTGTTTTTATAACATGTACACTGAATACTGCCATAGAGAAAACGTATGCGTATTTCATTTGCTATATGGACAACCAAGTAGTTTATGCTTGAGCAGTCATAAAAGGGATCATTTTACAAAAGTTATTCCATAAATAAAACTCACAGAAATCATCTATCTACCACAACTTTAAAATTTCTACATTATAGATTTAAGGGAAAGAGGTATAGAAAGAAAATTTCGGTGGGGATTGGTAAGGTATGTACACATATAATACCTTAATAAAAAAATGAGAAAAAATATTTGCAGTTCTCTGCATATTAGTTATACCTCAATAAAGCTGTATGTGGTATAAAAAAAGAAAAAAGAAAATTTTCTAAACCAGTTTAAACCAACCTATTATCACCCTAGTAATTCTGACCATAGGCCAATGTTGATTTTTGTTAAAATCCATTGAAATTTAGTAAGCTATATAAACTCTGTGCTTACTATTCCTTTTCCATTAAAAGTAAAATTTATAGGGTATTATAATCTCAAGAAAATCATACTATATATCACTGTTATAGTGGATCAAGAGATGCATGAATAGTTCTGAACATGCAGAAGTCACTTCCTATAGACTGACAGTTTGGGAGCTACATTCCTTTAAGTGGTTTCCATAAAATGGGATAGTATTAAGACCTGAATTTCATACCTTGACCTATAAAAAAATCAGTTCCAAATGTGCATGTCTTCACAATCTCCCTAATCTTGAATGAATCGTCATTTATTCCACTTACTGCCTTTCACCTTCAGATATACTACCCCTCCTTCACATTAGTCCCCCTTTTTTTCCCTATTCCCCTTTATGTATATGCCCAAGCAATTGTTATACTTACAAGGCTTACTGCTTTCCATACCTCTCACCTCATGTTGACATTTATCTCCTCATTCCTCCTAGCTGTCAAGCATCACTTGGAAGGTATATATTTTCTTGTTTAAACACAATATTGGATTCAAATAACTTGTATGTGATTCAAGCTCTGTGATTTACTAGTGTGTGACCTTGGGAAAGCTGTTTAACTTCTCTGAACCTGTATTTCCTTATCTTAGAAATATGATAATCATAGTATCTAATTCATAGGACTATCGTTGTCAAGAAAAAAATTAGATGGTATCTGACACACTTAAGTGTTTCTGCTATCATTATTATAGTTACTATTAAGAAATCCATTGCAAGAACCAACATATTTGCTTTCATTTCTAAACTCTTGTAAAGCAAGTCTTACTCTTCCATATTGGGACAGAATTGAGTACTAGTTTGAAAACTTTTTTTAAAAATCAGTCTATGAGGTAGGCTTTGAGGTAAAGGGCAACTTGAGAAAAAGAATGTTAATATGTCATGCAATTTTAATAAATCCAACGCTGGGCAATGGTAAGATATGTACACATATAATACCTTAATAAAAAATGAAAAAAATCTAATATTGGTTATTTTTATGACAACAGTTAGGAGTCAGAAAACCATCAGAGATTACCAATACAAAACCAATAGCTATATTTTAAATGTTCTTCAGAGAACTACACTTAGTCACTTAACAGAAATAATTTTTGCCAAAACCGGTTTGGCTCAGTGGATAGTGTCTGCCTGCGGACTGAAAGGTCCCAGGTTCGATTCCAGTCAAGGGCATGTACCTTGGTTGTGGGCACATCCCCAGTAGGGGGTGTGCAAGAGGCAGCTGATGGATGATTCTCTCTCATCGATGTTTCTAACTCTCTATCCCTCTCTCTTCCTCTCTGGGAGACCAGTGTGAAGAAAAATCAATAAAATATATTTTACAAAAAGAAATAATTTTGTGCAATTGTTGTGTCCCCATTATGATGTTTGCTGCAAAATTTCTAAATTGTATCTTAAAACAACATTGCATCAGTCTTTAAGGAAAACCCTTAGTATTTTAACTGAAGCGTCCCCATTTATTGTATAAAGGATCTCTTCCTGAAGTACACTCAATTTTTAGTATTATTTGAAAGTACTATAAGATTATAATAAAACAAGGATATATTTTGACAATATGCAGTAGAATGTTGATAACAGATGCATCAGAAATTTTGCTGCAACAACAGACAAATCTCTAATTATCCATAAGAAAATAAAATACAAGTAGCATAAATATTTACTTGCATAGACTTCAACAATGGAGGCTAAAAATGGACATAAGAGGAGAGAGCAGTCATTTCTCAGGCTCTTAGAAACTTATCTAAACAAAGAGAGAACAATTGCTCTTACATGAACAAAAATTCTGAAAGAAGTTTCTTCTTAACTCTGCTTCCAGGAAAGAATAAATAGCAATATTTAAACTGCCTATCACCCAAAGTGAAACTAATTTCTTGATCTGTTCAATCTAAGTAAAGGCTTAACTAAAGGTATTAAGCTGATCTTTAAAATTTTACAATCATTGTATTGTACTTGAGACTGAACAACTCAAATATTACTTTGAAATATAAAAATTACTATACATGGAAAATAATAAGGCAAGAAGCTCATAAGGTTCAAAGACAATATAAAACATTTTCTTTTGTTCTCCCTATCTTTGCTGAAAATATATAAGGTTAAGTATTCAATTTCAAAACTGTCTAAGCAACCCACAAATGGTGGCCAAAAAGACAAAGTTAAAGGTTCAATCAAGGCTCTTGTTCACACAACCTTCAGTTCTATTCCAAAATCTCTTAGGGGGTAAATAAACAAAACAAAAACTAAAACATGGAAAAGCTGCTGCTCTGAAGCTCAGAAGAGGGAGGGAGGGAGTTCTTACATCCTGCATTTGAACTAACACATCTGCTCTGTTGGCTTTTCTCTTAAGTTGTAAACAGAGACACTTTCAGGTATCATAGATATACACTAAGCTTTCACCTTTTTACTACGCATTGCTACTGAAAATTGTTTATCCTTCTGCTACCCACAGCTGCTGAAAATTATTATAAATTAAGAGCATGTGAATTGGGGGGGGGGGAGGGATGTCCTATCATTTGAAGAAGCAGCAACTTTAATCTTCCACTGCCTAAGAAGCTATTCCTTAGTTCCCTTTCCATTTCTCAATGCATTTGAAGTAGTTAGGAACCATTAGAAGTAAAATCTTTTGAAAGAAAACAGAAGTCAAAATAAGGGACAATATGGGAGGGAGAAAAACAGATCCCTCATCTTTAATTTTTTTAAACCCACAACTTTGTTTCCTTGTTCCCAGCTTCCCTTCTCACTCTGCCTAGTTCTAACACTCTTTAGACTTAAGTTAAACACCCTTTCCTATATACTAGCAAAATAACTCTTTACTCTCTGAACATACACACAATACCTCAGTGAGCCTCCCTCAGTCATTATCAGTTAGAGCATGTTTTACATCCTTTACAGATGTGCACTTGTGCCCTGTACCTCAGTAACTAGAGAACGTATGTCAAATGTCCCACTTTTGAAACTCACCAGTATATGATTTTTACCTGATTTCTTCACCTAACCTTAAAGACTCTAGCATCAACTCTCATGTACTAAAACTCGGTAGCTTTCTTTTTCCTTCAAAGAAGAAATGTGGCCCTAAAGTCGTGTCACAAGGCAAACAAAGCTAAATTCCATGAAAAATGAAATCCATGCAACAAAGGGAAGAAAGGAAAGAAGGGGGGTGTGATGTCTTTCAAAAGAGAAGCTGCCAGAATTTCTGCAATTTAATGATTCTCCACAGCAGAAGACCAGTGTAAAGAAAAACAAAAAAGGTGGGCTCCCCACCCTTCTTACCGCCGTTGAGCCTGAGGAAGATGCAATATACACGCGGATCACCATCCTGGGAACAGTGGTTGAGGTTGTTTGGGTCCTGCAAATGGCTGGAGAGCAGCTGCAGCAAAGACTGGAGTTGAGCTAGTGGCCCAGCAGAGGTTGGAAGAAAAGGGGGAATGAGGAAGGTTGGTCTCTCCAGAACCCCGCCTCCTCCCCTGGCTGCTTTCACTGGGAGCTCTGCAGTCCCGGCCCCAAAACCCGGAAGGCACAGGCTTGTTTGCATCATTTCTTTTTTTTTTTTTTTTAAATAGGGAATCTCGAATAGCACCGCGAGATCTGTTGAAACATTACTTTTTGACGATTGTCTCCCCGAGAAAAGGAATAGAAGAAAAAAAAAAAAGATAAAAAAGGAGAGAGAGAGATTTTAATTAAATTAGACTAGAATGAAGAACCTTTTCCCGTGAAGACTGAAAGTTCTACATATAACTTTCTGCTCATAAATGTAAGCAAATAATACAGATATTCCTTGAAAGAGGAAGCTGTATGTTGAATCCAGACACTAGTAAGTAAGCCCATGCTCTCAGACCTTGTACATTTTAAGACTCCTATTAATTATGTACTGATTGTTCTGATGTTGGACGGCAGCAGGAATTTGGGCATTGAAGAAGTGAGCGATGCCACATAAGGTTTTAAAAAGTTTCAGGTTTCCCTAAGCCCAGAAAAGGCAGGATTGGGTTTCTTTGTAAGCTTTGCTTTTTGTTAAGATAGGAGATCCTGCTTCTGTGAGAATACTCAGCAAGATTGATTGACTGGCAAACTCAAGAATGGAGGAAGAAATTGAAAAAAAAATGCAAGTATAGTGTTAGAAAATAAATGAATTCTTGTTTTGTTTTGTATCGCTTGCTGACTGACTGAGGAACTGACTGAGTAACTGACTGAGTGACTAACTGACTGAGGAAAGGGTGTTTGGATCCTATGTTGTAGGAGATGTTGAATTGGTAAGCAGAAAGAGAGAGCAAAAAGCTATTTATAGCTCTAGGGAAATGAGCTAACAAAAATGTTTAGAGAGGGACAATATACCTGAGACTGTAATTTCAATTTCCAAATTATGTCAAATGAACAGAATTAAAGAACTTGCAAATTGAATGGATAGAGGGAGTCAGTCACCTGTGTCCTACTTCTTTACTTTTCCTTTTCAGTTTGTTTCCCTCTATATTCAAGTGGTTTTATCACCATTCAATAATTGTAGTAGCTTCCTAACTTTTCCCTGTTCACAGGTTTTCCCTTCTCCAATTTATGTGATCCATAGAACAACCCTGAGAGGTGAATATTATTACATCAGTTTTACTGAAGAAACTGAGACTCAAGAAAATAAGTAATTTCCCCAAAGTCATATAGCTAGTAAATTCCAAAGTCAGAACTAGAACTCAAAGACTAACCAACTCCAAAGGCCACCTCTTAACTATAATTGCAATATACATCCTGGAACAGGGAAAGTACTCAATAATTGTTAACTTTTTACCCCTAAAATATCACTTTTATATGGCACTAAAGACAATGTAATCAGAAATACTTAACAGTTCTCCATTGACTATCAATCTAAGCCTACTAAGGAGCTCCCACCATAATCTGGCCCTACACTATTCATACACTCTTCATTGCTTCCATAAATTAACTTCCCTGTATAATCATTGTTGACTCCCCACTGCAATCATAGTACTTATTCATTTTCATGCCTTTCCTCTTCCTATCCCTTTATTCATCTTTCCCATGTCCTCATACTCTTTTTTGCCCTCCCTATCTGTCCAACTCTTGCCCTTTTTACACCCAATTTAAAATTATTATACAAATTACCTGGCAAGGTAATCCAGCCATCCTCATCATTGTCAACATCGAGCTGAATGCTACTGTGCCTCCCAGGCCACAGGACAGGAAAATCTGCCATCAGATTATGATTCATCAAAATAGACATAATTTGTCATATATTAGCATAGCCCAACCTCTAACCCTTAGTGGACAACATGTATTTTATTTGGACCTGTAGTCTCTTTTGAATTGGTGAAAAAAATAAAGAGATAAAAGGAAAAACTTTTATTTGTTCTACATATCCACAAGGCAAAATGAGTATCTCCAGAGAACTGAATGCTACGATTAGCAACGAGTCCAGTGGGCTTTATCTGGAACTTTGAGGAGTGGGAAGATGATTCCTGATACTTCATTAGTTTTGAATGCAGAATGTGTTAATCTAAGTGAAAACTTCCCCAATAAATGAACATATGAACAAAATCTTAGGACGTATTGGTAGTAGCAGGGGGACTTTATCAGTATTTTTGCCCTAGAAATGGACATCATATGTTATATTAGACTCCCTCCTTACTATATTCAACCATCCTGGAATGTATATTCTAGAATGGCCATTTTTGCTTCATTTTATTCCTTCATATTACTGTCCCCAAAACCATTTGTTCATATAATTTGAAAAGATTAAAGCTTAATTAAGATGGACTAAAAAGTTTTCAAATGGAATTTGTGACCTATTGACACAAGAAATCTATTTATTAACCAAATGTTAAAATTTTTCAAATATTATTTTTAAAATGCATATTCTGTACAGGAAACTTGGCAAACATTGAAAAAAAATCACCCCTACCGGCACTTTTTAATGTGTTGTAAGTCCTTTCAGGCCTAGTCAGAGATAAATAAATGAGGGTGGCTGTGAGGGAAGTGGCAGGAAAGGAAGAGAGAGAGTAAATATATTTGTAAAATGTATTTATAATGCAATACATACTATTATATAAATGGCTCTTTTTCATTTAAAAATATATTTTTTTAAATTATACAGAGAGCCCAACCAGTGTGGCTCAATGGTGAACCAGGTGGTCATGGTTTAATTCCTGGTCATGGTATATGCCCAGGTTTCAGGCTTGATACCTAGTGTGGGGCATGCAAGAGTCAGCTGATCAATGATTTTCTCTCATAATTTATTTGTCTATTTTTCTTTTCCACTCTCTTTTACTCTGAAATCAATAAAAACATATATATCTTTTAAAAATTATACAGAGTGGAAAGCTGTATGGAGTTACCTCAAAAATTAAAAATGGAATTGCCACCCTAGCAGGTTTGGCTCAGTGGATAGAGTATTAGCCTGTGGACTGACTGAAGGGTCCTGGGTTTGATTCCAGTCAAGAGCACATGCCCAGTTCAGGCTTGATCCCCAGTAGGGGGTGTGCAGGAGGCAGCCAGTCAATGATTCTCTCTCATCATTGATGTTTCTATCTCTCTCACCTTATCTCTTCCTCTTTGAAATCAATAATATATATATATATATATATATATATATATATATATATATAGAATCACCTTATGACCCAATAATTCCATTTCTGGTACTTTACCCAAAAAAACCCTAATTTGAACAAATATATGCACTCCTATGTCCATTACAGCTTTATCAACAACAACAGACAAGATTTGGAAGCAGTCCAAGCCTCCTTCAGTAATTGAGTGGATAAAAATCTGAGGTACATTTACAAATGGAATACTACTCAGCCATAAACAAGGTAGGAAATATCACCCTTTGTGATGGTATAAATGAATCTGGAGAGCATTATTCTAAAAGAAATATTCAATCAGAGAAAGATAAATACCATATGATCTCATATGTGTAATACAATAAATGAACAGAGACAGACTTATTGATGGAGAACAGGCTGACAGCTGTGGGGCGAGTTTGGGGACCTAAGGAGTAGAGATATTGAGCAAAAAAGAAAAAAATAAGGAAAAAATACTAATGTACATGTACAACATTGTGGTGATTGATGTGCGAAGGGTGATGGGGGAGAGAAAAGAGGGTATAGGGGGACAAATGCTGATGGAAGGAGACTTGATTTGAGCTGGAAAACACACAATGCAGTGTATAGATGATGTGTTGTGGTATTTTGCACTTGAAACCTGTATAATTTAAGTAACCAGTATCATTCCAATAAATTCAATACAAAGATGAAAATTGTAAAGGGCAAATAATAATAAGAAGAATGATATAGAAAAAAGACCGGTGGTTGCCAGAACAGAGTGGTGTTGGGGGGATTGGATGAAAAAGGTGAGTGGATTAAAAATACTAATTGGCACTTGCAAAATAATCATGGGGATGTAAAGTAGAGCAGAGAAAAAATAGTCAATAATATTGTAATAAATATATGGTGCCTAGTGTATACTGGAAATATGGGGGGGGGGAACACTTTGTAAAGTATATAATTGTCTAACCACTATGATGAAACTCATCCTATCTAATAAAAGAGTAATATGCAGATTGACCATCACTCTAACACACAAGATGGCTGCCCCCGTGTGGACACAAGATGGCCACTACAAGATGGCCAGCAGGGGAGGGCAGTTGTGAGGGACCAGGCCTGCAAGGGAGGGCAGTCGGGGGTGATCAAGCCTAAAGGGGAGGGCAGGTAGGGGTGACCAGGCTTGCAGGGGAGGGCAGTTAGGGCTGGCAGAGGAGGAAAGTTGGGGGCAAACAGGCTGGCAGGGGAGCAGTTAGGCATCGATCAGGTTGGCAAGGGAGTGGTTAGGGGGTGATCAGGCTGGCAAGCAGAAGCTGTTAGGGGCAATCAGGAAAGCAGGCAGCAAGCAGTTGGGAGCCAGCAGTCCTGGATTGTGAGAGGGATGTCCGACTGCCTGTTTAAGCCTAATCCCGGTGGGGGCAGTCAGACATCCCTCAAGGGGTCCCAGATTGGAGAGGGTACAGGCTAGGCTGAGGGACATCTGCCCCCTGCCCCCATGCACGAATTTTGTGCATCGGGCCTCTATTATTATATATATATATATATATATATATATATATATATATATATATATATAATTATTGACTGTATCCTAATGCTGTACTTTATTTTTTTTTTCAAATTTAAAGAAAAAATTTATTGAAGATCTGAAAAACAATTTCTAAAAGATTGGCTTTTCCAGAAAACCACAGCTACACAATGCGTTGTGTTTATCGTGTGAAAACATGCATGAGGCACAAATACAAAAACCATAAACAAGCCACTATCTTCAGCAATCTAAGCAAAGATACAGGCCCAAGGAACCATGTGGACTTGCAAAGAAGCTCTTTACTGTCAGCACCAGTTAAGAAATAAAAGAGTACAAATGAATGGATGTGGTCAGTTATATACACGGAGTGAACCTTTGGCACTAGGAGTCAGCATTTTGTCATAAAGCATCAACACATATTATAAAAGTGCTTAGTGTCAAAGGAGGAGAACCACCAGCATTAAAAGCAGCTTTGTCAACTAGGCATAGAAGACTCTAGAGTATGTCTCTCTGTTGTCCATCGATACCCTGGTAGCAACTTCAAAATGAAAAAGAGAAAAGGAAAAGAAAAAAAGGAGCTGGAACCCCTTTTATTTTCTCTGTTTAAAATCCAACAGAAAATAAACATCGAGTCTGTTATGCACTAGCATTTCCAAAGTATAGTATTTGTACAAGAGGACTAAGAACAGAAAGCGTTGCCGAGATCCCAACGCGAGGGAAGCAAGAGCCTCACAGGGCTTTCTGGTGGTACTTAGGAGGGGCCACTCCGTAGTAGCTGGCGCTGAACAAAGTCACGGAGTTCTTTGCCAGGTACTTGAGGAAATCGTGCAGATAATTCAGTAACAAGGCCAGGCTCTTGTAGTCCAGAGGCGTATATGCCAGCATGGCGCAGATGCATGCAAATAGTCTCAGTAGATGTGGTGGTCCATTCACCTGGGACACGAGCATTGTCAGGGTGGTCTGCAAAAATTTCAGGGTACTGAGGCCTCTCAAACTTGTAGAGCAGCTGAATGCCCAACATGACCTTGAAGTACTCCTTGATCCTGGCCACCACTTCATTCACAGCATACTCTTTATTATCCATGTTCCCAGGAGATTCCTTGTAATTTGCATAATCCTCCAGACCAGGATGGAATCCACATTCTTCTTGGCAGGAAGATAAAAGAGCTGTTTGTTTGTTTGTTTGTTTGTTTGTTTGTTTTTGGCAGGTAATTAAGTCCCAGTCATAACAAGTCATGGTTTTAGCTTTTCAAGAATCTTTACTTTGACTTCAACTCTGTTCATGAATGTTTCCTCATTTTCCAGTCGGATCCACTTGCTCTCTCTTCTTGCGAGAAAGCTGAGGGGTCTAGCTGGTGCTGCCAACATCTCCATTCCAAGTGTTTTCTGTTTGTTCTTTTTTGTTTTCACTTCCACGCTCTTCTGCTGCAGGCCCCACGTCTTCTTCCCTGGAGCTGCCCCCCTCATCTCTCCCTCTGCATACTGCTCCAGATTGGCTTTTTGAAGTTTGCGTTGTTTCTGCAGATCAGTGTCCATGTATTTGAGCACTCTGCTCTCTGAGACCCACTCATCCCAATTTTTATTCCTACCGCTGTAATGTATAAAGTTATTTCACTTGCTTGTCCTTTATGGCAATCTTTACACACTTTGTTTCATAGAGTCCTGTGAAAGCACAGCACTCACTCACCCTCCTGGAATTTAGGCTTCCGGTCTTGCTTTGGCACCATTTACAGGAATTCGCCACGTCCGCCACCGCCTCCTTCTCCCACCACCCAGTCTACAGCCCCCCTCTCACCACCCCACCCAGCTGTGCGTCACACACCGAGGGCTTTCCACTTGGGTAAATCCAGTTTCTCATCCTATTTCTTTATCTGTACCCTGGGGAAATAATGTCACACTCTGTGGGTCAGTGTATGAAAATAACCAAGAAACACACCCACCCACGCAGGAAAACAACCTCTGTAATAGCTCTACAAACATATATCGATCGTCAACAATTTATTATTCATTTACTCATGTGTTTATTCAATAATGCTTGACAAGAAAGGCTCTATGCTTTGTGCTAAGCACTGCATTGAATATAAAACTGTATTGAGATCAAGGTGCCAAATTCAAGTTCATGTCCTCAGTAAGTGGTGGAAGATTCAGAAACCAAAGCCTGGAAGTGAAGAGTGATGCTCCCATGTCCAGGGTACTGTGGTGATCCTCTGCACTGTTGTCAGGCATGGCTTCTAAGTGAAACAGCGAGATTTGATGTGTGTTTTTTTATTATTATTGGCAAAAGGTCTTGCCTCTTAGGAGCTTATATTTTGATAGGAAACAAAGACAGAGCTGCCTTGGCCTTGTACAAATCAAGTACATAGTGACGGATGGCATAAGGTGAGCACAGTGATAGGACACAGACAGGTGGACTCTGGTGGTGTCGGCAGTTTCTCGTGATCCCAGATGACTTTCTGGAGGAGGTGGCATTTTTTCAGGTTAGCTGGAGGTAGAACTGAGTTTTCATTGATTTTCAGACATACCTGCAGATAAATAGCTAATAACAGTTATGAGGTTAACAACTTTGATATTGTTACATTTAAAAAACTATTTGGCCTCATTGTTTTGCAGGTGTCATGAATCTGACAACCTGGATGAAAAGATTATTTGCACCTGTCACATCAGGTAGGCCTAGTGAAAACGTGTTAGGAACTTGTTTCATTTTACTTAACACTTACTACAGAATACAGTAATTGGAAGAAGTGTATTTCTTCTTACCCTTTACAATAGCATGGATGGACCTAGAGGGTATTATGCTTAGTGAAATAAGCAAGTCAAAGAAAGACAAGTATCATATAATTTCAATTATACATGGAATCTAATGAACCAAATAAACTAACTAACAAAATAAAAACAAACTCATATATACAGAGAGCAGACTGACAGCTGTTAAAGGGGAAGGGGGAAGGGGGCTGCGTGAAAAGGTGAAGGGATTAAGCAAAAAAAAAAACAAACAAAAATCCCAAAACCTCACAGTCAACAGTATAGTGATTACCAGAGAAAAAGGGGGTGGGAAGAGATAGGAGAGGGTAAAAGGGGAGTAAATGGTGATGGAAGATTTGACTTTGGGTGGTGAACACACACAATATAATATACTGATGATGTAAATAGAATTATACACATGAAGCCTGTATAATTTTATTTACCAGTGTCACACCCATAAATTCAATTTAAAAAGAAAGAAGTGCATTTCTTTTTCTTACATTAAAATTAGGAGTTACTATATTTTTGAGCAACAATGCATATTAGAAAACCAAATTGAGATTGAGGGTGGAAAGAGCACATTGCAGAAGTGAGAGACACCGGAGCGTGAGTCTGTGTGTGTGTGTGTGTGTGTGTGTGTGTGTGTGTGTGTGTGTGTGTGTGTTGGAACAGGGTGATGAGGGTTTGACTGTGTCAGTTACCACATATATCTATTTAGCTTCCCTGTTTCAAGGACTTTGGCTTTTTAAAGTCAATTTAGGAGACACGGTCTATGTCCTCGAGCATTTGCAATCTTCAGGAATGGGAGGTGAAGCTGGCATAAGGACCCATCCAGCCCTTCAGATGGATAATTAGAGGAAACCTTCTATCCTGGCAGGGGGGCGGGGAAGGAGGAGGCCAGGAGAAGTGGAGAGTGGAGCTGATCTGGTTAATATCGTCAGTGGAGACCCTTTGAAATTGTGTATCTAGCAATGGAACCCTGGAGCAGCAAGTGGCTCCAGCTCATCAACATCCCAATGCACAGCAATTCCCAAAAGCCAGGCCCTAGGAGAAGTGTCTGCTCCCTAGTGGTCAGTGCACATCATAGTGAACAGTTGAGCAACCTTAACACATCATTAACATATGCTTTGGTTGGTTGAACGGCTGACCAGATGACTGGACACTTAGCATATTAAGCTTTTATTATATAGGATGATTTACTAAATAAATGGCTCAAAGTAGTCCATTTATGAGACCAATGGAAAAAAATAGGTCATAGAAAATGTTTATGATGAAGCCAATTGTATGCTGCTGCGATCCAAAATTTTAAAAAAATAATTTAGAAATCAGAGTGAAAAAAAATGTTTGGTGTTCACTTAAAAATGTATGAGGGTATATAAAATTCTTTTAAATGTTATATAAGCAAAATGTTTAAAGATGACTGATCTAGAAAACATTTTTTCCACCTTAGATTAATAAAATGAATTGTTTTAAATGACATAAAAATCTATATTATAAAAACCCAGTGGCCCTAACACCATAACAACCAAAGACCAGCTCAGGCAGGTGGGGTTGTGCACTTGGGTGGGCAGGGGCACGCGATTTTGCATACTGGGATCCTAATTAAAATATAATATGTTTACTTATTCCCATTTCTACTAATCTATTAATCTATAAAGAAACGTAAAGTAGCTCTCCTCCTGCCATCCAAATATATGAAAGGAAGGAAGATTAGTGGGGGAAAGTACTCTGCTGTCATAAAGAAGCAGGAAGTCAAGAAAGTAATAAATCTCTTGTTTGAGAAAAGGCTCAAGAATTTTGGCACTGAACAGGACGTTCAGCCCAAAAAGTATCTCACCTGCTTTGTCAAATGACCCTACTACGTTTGGCAGCAATTCTATATAAATATCTGCAAGTTACTCCTTCCATTAACCAGTTCACCCAGTCCTTGGACCACCAAACAGCTACTCAACTGGTTAAACTGGCACACAAGTACAGATAAAAGACAGAGCAAGAAAAGAAGCAGAAATTGTTTGCCTGGGCTGAGAAAAAAGCTGCTGACAAGAGTGATGTACCCAACAAGAGGCCACCAGTCCTTTGAGCAAGGTTTAACATTGTAACCACCCTTGGTGGAGAACAAAATAGCCCATCTGATACTGATTGCACATTATGTGGATTCCACTGAGCTGGCTGTCCTCCTGCCTGCCCTGTGCTATAAGATGGGGTTTCCTTATTGCATTATCAAGGGGAAGACCAGCTTGGTACATCTCCTCCACATCTGCACCACTGTCACCTTCACACAGGCTAACTTGGAAGACAAAAGAGCTCTGGCTAAGCTGGTAGAAGCTATATGGAGCAATTACAACAACAGATATGATGAGATCAGCTGCCACTGGAGAGGCAATGTCCTGAATCCAAAGTCAGTGGCTCACATTGCCAAATTGGAAAAGTGAAAGGCTAAACAACTGGCCAGCAAACTGGGCTAAGTGGAATTGTTGAGTTTGCTGTACATAAAAGTAATAAAAATTATCCTTGAAATAAACAAAACAAAAAAGAAAACTAAACTAGAACCATATTTTCAAAACTATCCTATCTAATAAAAGAGTAATATGCAAATTGACTGTCACTCCAACACACAAGATGGCTGCCCCCATGTGGTCAAAGATAGCTGCCCTCATATGGACACAAGATGGCCACCAAAAGATAGCTAGCAGGGGAGGGCAATTGGGAAGGATCAGGCCTGCAGAGAAGGGCAGTTATAGGCCAACAGGGAAGGGCAGTTGGGAGGGACCAGGCCTGCAAGAAAGGACAGTTGGAGGCAATCAAGCCTGTAGGGGAGGGCAGTTGGGATGACCAAGCCAGCAGAAGAGGGAAGTTGGGGGCGACCAGACCTGCAGGGAAGGGCATTGGGGGGAGGGGACCCAGGCCTGCAGGGGAGGGCAGTTAGGGGTGACCAAGCCTATAGGGGAGGACAGTTAGGGAAAATCAGGCTGGCAGGAGAGCAGTTAGGCATCAATTAGGCTGGCAGGGGAGTGGTTAGGGGGTGATTAAGCTGGCAGGCAGAAGTGGTTAGGGGAAATCAGGAAAGCAGTCCTAAATTGTGAGAGGGATAGCCTGCTGCCCACTTAAGCCTGATGCTGGTATCGGGCTTAAACAGGCAGCCTGACATCCCTTAAGGGATCCCAGATTGGAGAGGGTGTAGATTGGGCTGAGGGGCACATGAATTT